ATATATATAGTTGGTTTAAGGTGAGGGTTCAACTGGGCTTTAACTTAGCCTCTGCCCTCCCTGCTGCCAGCAAATACTTACTATACTCGATCAAGTCAGAACTTGCACAGTGCTCAAGGATCGAGCAACGCACCCTAGGTGGGGACAGAGGCAATGTCACATGTTCTCACATACCTGAAAGTACCAGGATTTTGGACCAGGTGTCAGTCGTAACCAGGATGGTTGTCAGAGGGTCGAGGTTAAGTTTAGGCAACAGAGGATGCCTGTCACACAGTGGTTGCCTCTATCACAGTCACACCTCACTGCTGGTGCTCAATAGATGTTAGGATTTCTTTTGATCCAATCAAAAATGACCATCTCAGGACACTATTGGGTATAGGCACATTTACTGATTCTATTTGCTGTACTTGGATCCATGAAGAAAAAAAAAAAATGAGCATCCAGTCACACAGAAGGTATCTAAAGTCCTTGGTGTACCTACTGCAACCCACTCACATTTTACCCTCACTGCTTCTAATCATGGCAAACCAATGGTCAGAGCATACCGGGCTTTTAAAAGGCACATATTAAAAAAACAGGAATCTGAGAACTTCTAAGGCGTAAAGTTTAAACTATACTACAACTGATCAAATATATTTTCTGGAACAGATTTTGTGAAACAGGAAGACATACAATATAATATAATACATACACACACACACACACACACACACACAGCGGCCCCTTTATTAAGTACACCTGTTCAGTTGCTTAGTAACACAAATTGCTAATCAGCCAATCACATGGCAGCAACTCAATGCATTTAGGCATCTAGACGTGGTGAAGACGACTTGCTGAAGTTAAACCGAGCATCAGAATGGGGAAGAAAGGGGATTTAAGTGACTTTGAACGTGGCATGGATGTTAGTTTACATAGAATGGTCTGAAAAAGAGAAAATATCCAGTGAGCGGCAGTTGTGTTACAACCAAGGTATGCAGAATACCATCTCTGAACGCTCAAATCGTTGAACCTTGAATCAGATGGGCTACAGCAGCAGAAGACCACACTGGGTGTCAGCTAAGAACAGGAGACGGAGGCTACAATTCGCACAGGCTCCCCAAAATTGGACAATAGAAGATTGGAAAAACATTACCTTGTCTGATGAGTCTCGATTTCAGCTGCGACATTTAGTTGGTCGGGTCAGAGTTTGGCGTAAACAACATGAAAGCATGGATCCATCCTGCCTTGTATCAACGGTTCAGGCTGCTGCTGGTGGTGTAATGGTGCAGGGGATATTTTCTTGGCACACTTTGGGCCCGTGATGCTATCATGTCAATATGGACCAAAATCTCTGAGGAATGTTTCCAACACCTTGTTGATTCTATGCCACGAAGAATTAAGGCAGTTCTGAAGGCAAAAGGGGGGTCCAACCCAGAACTAGCAAGGTGTAACTAATAAAGTGGCCGGTGAGTATAACGCACGCACGCACACACACTTTCTTTTCAGTGAGCTTTTTGATTACCTGTTTTGGTGTTGGTCCTTCCTTGGAAAAATAACCGAAGGAAAACAATTTGGGGTACTGTTGAAACAGCGGACAGATAAAAAAAATAAAAATAAAAGTCAAACAGACCAGTTTTTTGTACTTTACATTCTAACATATGTAGATTGATTAAAATAAACAGTGTTACAGTTTAAAATGTCTTTCTACCCAAAAGGGATATTTTAAATTTAGTTTGAGTCTTGTGGACTATTGGCTTCTTCTATCTCTCAAGGATTCCAGCAGCACAATCTACCTGCAATATTTCCTGGTTTCCACTTGCAGTGCTCCCACTACTCCTGTTGCAATTTCTGTGTAAAAAAACATTGGACACAAAATCCAACAGAAATAGTGGGACCCTCTCCTAAAGAGCTGGCAGTTTGTGCAGGCCCGAGAAGGAGAGATTTCCTGCTGGAGTCGGCAAGAAATGTAAAACCATTAGGTGATTTGTCTCTTCAGCCTCTAGGCTGGGCCTTGCATCCAAAGACAGGAAATAGAACATTGCTAAACATTTAAAGGCATAGTCCACCTTTTTTTCTTTTTAAACACAAATCAATTAATGCACATTCATTATTAAAGAAAAAAGTGTGCATCTAATGATTTTTTGCTGTGGAGCCTAAAAACCATTGCGACCATGATCAGTGGATTACAGACATTAAGTTACATGGATAGGAGGAAGTGTCAATGGACTACAAGTGTGGTGACATCACTGTACTTGTACTTCACAGAGAACTATGAGTACCTCTGCTGTTTTGGCATATAGGACTTTTAGTTTCTCCAGGCACAGATGCTGCTGTCAAAGGATCTGTGAACAGATGACCTGGCTGTGTGTGGCTCCGCACAAGTTTCAAATATATACAAAATCCTGCCGGGAGAAGAACCCCGGCATTCTGGTAACGAGGGGGCTGTTTGGGGCTAGCAGATGTGACCGTATTTCATGTTGCACTCTGCATATGGGTCTAACTAGCAGTTCTAATTAGCAGCAGTTAAAGAGAGGTGCCTTGTATAGCATTATATCTGGACTCAAGCTGTGACGTGCATGATACAAAGGGATATACCTATTTGAAGATGCACCTTCTGGAACTCATAAAGGAGCCTAACTCTACCAGGGGCTTGTGTCGACAGGCTTTTGTTCACATCAGAACTGCACAAGTCTCAATTTGTTAAATGCTATGTAAAATCAGCTTGAAGCAGGTAAAATGCAAGTCTGAAGGAGGCCAAAGGCACCTGTCAATGAAATCTGTACAATCTCAGAAGTGAAGCCGATGCCAAAAGCAAGTTGCATTTGTACAAAGTTCGTTGACACAGGCCTAAAAAAAAAAAATGCTAGTTGCCTGCCTGTCATGATAATCCATTGGCTTCGATAATTTGTGAGGCCCTAACCTGGAACACGTATGCAGATCAGGAGTTCTGAGTGCAGTCTGAATTTCTGATCTCCATGCTTGTTCCCAGTCAGTGACTCAAAAGTCCTAGAGTCAGAGACAGCCAGGCAACTAGCAGCACTTGTTTATCTTTCACTTCAGGTTTTCTTTAAAAGTTTATCATGAATGGCAGGTTGGCTTAGGCAACTGAGGACTATCCCTAGATTTCCTTGCTCAAGTACTCAAATCTATTTATCGTTATTATAATTTTAGACTTCTGCAAGAGCGATACATATATTATACATTTCTTCGATCTCCCAGCTGGGAACACAGACCGCAATACAAACCTTACAGAAGTTCCAAGTCTTTTTTGCTCCATGCACTAGAAAAAGGTTTTAGCTGGAGTACCACTTTAATATCTCCATTTCTCTTTTTAAATCTTTATGAAGAGCTACTACAATGGACAAATAGATGAGGCGGACAGATTACCCAATCCTATTCCACAAGTAAGAAGCACTGATATTCCTATTCATCAGCAACACCTCACATACAAGGCCAGGGCTTTCCTACCTCTCTAGGAAACATTATGAAGATATGACAAATGCAGATTGTGCACTTACTTTCCAGTATTCCACTGAGAATCTGGTTTGCTGCCACAGATCAGACACCATGATATAAAAAAGCACCCATTTTAATGGGGGGCAACAACAACTAAGAAACTTACTAAGAACACATACCCGTATCAGGAGTTTTCGTCCAAAGCTGAACTTAGTGAAAAGTAGGAAAAGGAATCCTGCAAACATCAATGCGATGACTGAAGTGAGCCCGCCCACTGCTGCATAGGCAGAATACTGCACCTAGGGAAACAAAAGAACCACAGTTGGTCCTTCAACTAATACATACCATAAGGGCACTTTATTTTGTCCAGGATGTGCACTACACTCTAGATAGAAGCAGACCTGTTTTCTGGAATATTTTCTGTTGCTTGAGCAAAGCAAAATGCTGCATAAACTGTTCAGGTAAAGCAAGGCTGCAAAGGATTCTGGTGACCAGAAGGGGGTGTGCAATCTGTGTGCTTAAAAGAGAACTATGGGGTAACCTGTTTATCCCATAGTTCTCTTTAGGGTCACGGGAAGACATATACTAACCTCCTCCCGTGACCCAAAGCTCAGTATATAGCGGGCTATTTCCCGCGATATACTGAGAGCGCCGCAGCCGGGACGGATCCTGACAACACTGTCGAGATCCATCCAGCTGGCTGATTGACAGCGGGCTTTGCCCATCTACAGGCAGAGCAAGCTGTGCCCGCCCCCTCCCCTGTCCGTTCCTCCTTTAGGCGCTGGAGGATCGGAGAAGGGAGGAAACCCTGCAGGGAGCGGTGACTTATAGTCACTGCTCTCTGCGGGGAGATGATCGGCAGTATGTTTCTGATCACTGCCCGATCAATAGAGCCGACCTGTGATAGTTTCAATGTCACACGTCGGCTCTAACTAGGAGGAGGAGGAGTGGAAATCACTCACCTCATAGAGCTCCTTTAAGCCACAGGCAGTGGATGCCTCTTGCTACAGCTGGCCACTCACCATGCATTTTCTCTCATTTAGCCCTGTGGGCTGTACAAGAAAAAAACACTTGAATCTCACCTGCTGCGCTACTCTATTCTGACATCGGTAGGTGTATCACTGGCAAATTATGCAAACAGTGATAGACGTTGATGGGTCCAGATATAGAACCCTTCATGTCTGCTATGCGCTCTAAACTGATGAACTCAGAAGAGGACAACTTGCCTTTCAGAATTTCCTTGATCACAAAGGAGAAGTAATCCATGCAGAAGGTTTGAGAGGGCAAACCACACTGGTAGCCAGGACACAGGCTAAATTGGCTACTGGAAAGAGACCAGAATTTTGGACAAATGTTTTTGTGTCCTAGTTACCTAAAAATATTCTTGGGATGGATGTACTTCAAGGTCAATCCAGACTGAATGGAGTACATTTACATTCTGGTATGCTCACAAAGTATCTGTAAGGGCAGTAATGGCTGTGGATAGAGGTCATGCAAAATGGACCCCTTTCTATACCCCTACCCCAGAGAAACCAGTCTGTCTTAAGCAGTACAGACTGCCAGAAGGAAACAAAGAAATTGGGGAGCTTATTAGAACTTCTGAGAATAGGCATCCTTAGTCCTGCTGTAAGCTTTCACTTGGCTCTGGTGTTCCCTGTAAACCTGAAGTGGAGAAGGACTGTGGATTACAGAGGCCTAAACAAAGTGGCATCCCCTTGAAAACAGCTATACCTGACCTGTTCTCTTTTCCGTCCCAATAGACGGGAGTGGCAGGACCAGTTTGTCTTTGTGTGGGATGGCTGCCAGTACAGTACACCTTCATCGTGTATCCTCAAGGGTACCTTCATTCAACAAGGATCTCTCATGAGCTAATTAACCGAAGTTTCAGCACCCTTAATTTAACCATTTTTACCATTGTTTAAAGGGCCTGGTCAAAATAATGGACCCAAGCTTTAGAGCAGCTGTGTCCTAGGAATCAACAACAGTCTGACCTTTCAACATAGCTGACCTATGGCATTTATAGTACTCCGCCGTGATCTACAGTTTGCAGGCAGACATGCTTCCCTTAAGAGAATGCCAAAATCAAGAACCTGTTTTCTTACGATCAGTTAATACCCAAGAGTTCTCTTGGCTAAGGAAAACGTGGACCAGAAGCTAAGTGACTTTGAGTGTATTGCTTTTGAATACAGATTAATACCAATGTTCATTAGCTAGGAAAGTATGGAAAGCATGTGCATATGTGTGTATGCATACTTGTAGCCCTCTGTATGCATTGTATTGTTACTGCAGCAGCAAATAGTTTTTATGAACATCATTCTTGTTTAGTAAAAGCACATTATTATACTACTGGGTCTATAACCTACTAGAATTAGACAACAAAAAAAGAGAAGAATATTAAAATATTTACAACAGAGCACATGCTTTACTCTATAGATACCACATGTGCATCGCAGCCCAACGCCGCTGGTGTGAATCCATGTAGAAGAACTGTTCTCCAACAAAACTGGCCTATTTCCCTCTAAGGTACGTTTTTGGGGCCATTACAACCCAGTGGGCTGGAATGCAACAACTTGCTATTTTGTTTGTTACCTATGTAAGGTGGCTTTGACATTTTACTTGCCCCTCTAATATGGGAGAGGGATGGGGAACGACTGAGCAAGCGCGGCCAGCAGGAAGACCGTAATATAATATATATTTATTCATTCCATCTGTCACATGACATTAAACTTCTCTGTGTGCTCCTTACAAATGACAGCTGCCTCCTAACTTTTGAATTTTTCTCTAGTCTAGGAGCTCAAAAAGTATCTGTACTTGTATTTCTACTTGTTCAGAGTACTGTACTTGGTGTCTGAAGATCCCTAATTTTATATATATATATAGCCACCGCATACAACAACTGTGGCAGACTGTGTGCAAATTAATAAACTCTTTGTATTTCATTTAAACTAAAAATGACTTATACACGTGACTTTCCTTTGTATATAAATTTCCGCATGCGCAGATTTACAACTTACAGGAGTTTCCTGTAGGTTCTCGTACAGGAATCGCTGGGTCCTTCTAACAACAGCTGCATCAGCTCCCAAGAAAGGAATGGCATACTCTTTTACTTCATTGCTGTAAAATACTGCACCCCTGAAACAAGATAATTCCCATTAAACATCTAATCTGAGTGCTGAACCCATCAGCTTTATTAAATGTATAACCACACACACAAAATTAATAGCATATTGCACCTACAGTACAGCCTGAAACCATATCAAGGGCCTGGCCGTGACATGTAAGCTGTGCAACCAGTTTACAATGGATTAACAGCTGATCTGTCAGGCGCTATATAACTCCTGTATAATAAATACACACACACAGTCAAATATAAATATGATTGAATATAATTGACTAACCTTCTTTTTAATTTTCTACCAACAACTGGAAGAGGTTTGAAAGCCAACTGCTTTCTAAGCTTTCTCAGATTGCCTTGGTCTGCAACACCATGAATAGCAGACTGCCATGTCCCATCATGAATGCATGTGCCCTATAAAAAACAAAACACAGAAAACATAATAGCAGAAATCATCAAAGCATTAGAAGGATTAGAACCAACTTTATGAAGAAATATGGAATATTACGGATATTCAGTTTTCTTTAATGGTGATATATAAACATTTTTGCCTATATACACTTAATACATTATGTTCAGAAATATAATTCTTTTTTTTTTAAAGTAAATCTGAAATACTGCTCGGCTATTTTATGTTTACCACTTTTTGATACACAATGCTTTAAAAAACTGAATGTCATTTAATTAGAGTTTACATCTCCATTTTTGAGGTTCACTGATGCCTAGGCCAAATTTTAGAAGCATTGGCATATGCTTAACCTAAACAAAAATCTTTAACGGATTTGAACAGGTAAATCTTTTTTTGAAATATATTTTGAGTATAGTTTTAGTAGCGCACTCCTACGCTCTTTTCAACTATAAATATACATGTATATACATAAATACATATACACACAAAAATGTATTATATGTAAAAGTGAATCTATTTGATGGATGCACTACAGATGAACCCTGTAGCCCAGGGGTAACCAAACTCCGGCCCTCCAGCTGCGGTGGAACTACAAGTCCCATGATCTTCGTGTTCATCTGCAGTCTCTAATTTTTGTCAATAGAGCCTCCAGCTTGCATGTGATCTCTATGTCAGAGCTCACAGTGATCACATGATCGGGAACCACTCCGATTCCTGTTAGTCATTGGGTACCCTAGGTGTCATCGACTGCTAGTATTGAGAGTCAGAAGCACGCAAAGTGTCAGCTAGTGGCTCTGAGGGTTTTATGTAATGTATTGTCAGCACGGAGCACGGTGCCAGGGAACGTTCAAATACAGGCTGAGGGCAGGAAGGGGTTAAACAAACGCTACGTGGACCTACTAATAGTCTGTAGTCAAGTTTCAGGTAAACTGGCTAAAACATATCTAAAGCCACTAGATGAGACAGAATTCTGGTTAAAGTGCTTTCAGGTTTTGTGGCATGAGTTACTGGTGAGAATTCCGTTCACTTTCTACCCAAACACACAACATGAAATGAGAGGAAATCTCAGTGATGGGAATTCACCCAACTTCGGGGACACCTGTCACCATAACAGGTGTCCCCGAAGTTCTTGCTTTAGATTCACTTTAAGGGCTGGTTTCAACTGTTCAGCCGATTAAAGTGTTTTCAAAGTAAAATAAACCCTCTATAAAATTCTTTAGGCTGGGGGTTGTTAGATCTACAAGCACAATACTTAAAAGCAAACGCAAATGCTGACCTCAGATCCAGACTTGAAAGTCAGGAAGCTTTCTACTGCTGTCAGAGTACCTAGAAAGAGAGAAGATCTGTCATTTGTATGAACACACATGCCACCAGCGTCACTCAGAATATAAGCACCTCTGCTCTCACCAATTCAATATGGAGCAGCAGAAGGCTATACAGGCGTGGCTGTAAGTAGAAGCTATGATTCCATGGTGCAAAGTCACAATCCACCCTCAGAGGATGCACATCAGTTTACAGAAGGATGGCAGCACACAATGAATCTCCTCCAAACGTATCTTTATTGCATACTGTAAAAGTCCATAAAAGCAACACATGCTTACACGTTTCAGCCCTGCAGGGCCTTGCTATGACTAAGGCCTAGCAGGGCTGAAACATGTAAGCAGGTGTTGCTTTTTGGTCTTTATGCTCTGTAACACCTGTGCGATGTGACAGCAGGTGTGCGGTGCAAGGTGTTTTTAGTGTGTTGCAATAGGGCAGCCCATTCATTTGAATAGACCGCCTACAGCATTTTAATCTCATCACATTGCATCTGAACAATTGCATCAAACCGCAACGCTTTGTATTGGGGGTGCCATTATGAAATAATGGCACCTCACAGTGTGACATGCAACCTGAGTGAGGCCTTACAGGATGAAATAAAGATACATTTGAAGGAGATTCCTTCTGTGCTGCCATCCTGCTGTAAACTTTTAAAATAAACTAAGAGGGTTATTCAAAAAAGGGTGAAGAATTTGGAGAAGGCAGGAGAAGTGAGCAATCTAGGACAACACAGCTGAACTGGAAACATTCTCCAATTCAGCTCACTTTCCAGCTCAGCTATGTTGTCCTAGAGCAGGGGTGCCCACAATTTTTTGTGTTAAGATCTACTTTTCAAATGACGAGATGCATGAGATCGACCAACAAAAAAAAACCCTCCCTCGCTCTCCTGGCTGTCTCGCCTCGCTCATCCTCCTGGCTGTCTCGCCTCGCTCATCCTCCTGGCTGTCTCGCCTCGCTCATCCTCCTGGCTGTCTCGCCTCGCTCATCCTCCTGGCTGTCTCGCCTCGCTCATCCTCCTGGCTGTCTCGCCTCCCTCTCCTGGCTGTCTCGCCTCCCTCTCCTGGCTGTCTCTCCCCACTCTCTCTCCTGGCTCACCTTGCTGTATTTTGCAACAAGCTGTGTAAACTAATATTCTTTGATGTAATACATAGCACTTCAACCACCAGAATCCACCAGAAAGGTATCAGGGAGCTTGGCTCAGCAGACTCAGGCTAATAGGTAATCATGTGTGCACAGCAAAATAAATATAACAAAATGCAATAAAGGGGCTGACATTCACACCCTTCGTGATCTACCAGCATCAGCTTTGAGAGCTACTGGTAGATCACGATCTACCTACTGGGCACCCCTGTCCTAGATTGTTCACTTCTCGTGCCTTCTCCAATCTCTTCACCCTTTTGTGAATAGTCCTGTAAAAGTTTGCAGAGATGGAAAAACTAAAATTAAGCTGACCCCAGCTTCCCATGCCACCTCAGGATATAAACATGTTTAACATCAGAAAATGTACTTAACTGGATCCTTTTAAAAACATGGGGACATACAGTATACAAGCACCATCTGGGATTTCACATAATAAATTAGCATATATTTGACTGCACATCAACAAATTCTTGTTATGCAAAACGAATAGCTTTTCTCCTATATGTAATCTTCTGGAATATAAAATACCTTCTATGCTGTTTCTGGTAAACAGGACGCCCATGTCAGCCGGAATGGAATCAAAGCCACTGCTGCCAACAACATACACCCCTTTATCAGCGGCTTGGCTGTCATACTTCATGTACATGGATTCCAGGAACTGTGCAGACAGAGAGAGAACGCATAGCATTCACATATACTTATAAGAAGGGATACAATGTGACATATCATAGCTATGTACATATTTATTGTGGGATTAAATGCTGTCCGCTGAAAGATGGGAGTACTCCAAACTATACTACCTAGATTATCACAAGAGGAGGAGCATAGTATTTTCTATAGTAGGTATGCACCAATGACGGTTTTTCAGTATCAAGTACGAGTACCAATTTTTTTTTCTTGTACGCGCCAATACCAAATACTGATAATCGGAAGTCCCAGTACGGAAGGCGGGCGGCATGTAATGACTCGCCACCCGGCTTCCCAATTAGCAGGGAAGCCGTCTACATGCTTCCTTGTCACCAGGTGAAGTTCCGGTATCAGGATAGCTAATGAATACTCGCCCAAATACTTGCTATCGGCACTGATACCAGTATAAGTATCAGTGCATCCCTATTTTATAGTGTGTGATTTCTGTTTTACTTTATTTGATAGAAAGAAATTGGAACAGTGAGCCTATAAAAATCATTTATAAATAAATGTTAGTTTTTTGTTTTTTTTTAAATCTATGTTTATTGTGCAAAAAACATATGGTGATACAGATACGGTATGCATAAAGCTGCACGCAGGCAGCCCTCTGAACTTTCTTCAAGTAAAAGTGTACATATCATAACAAGTAACAAAATTACAATCAAGTCGATATGGTACAAGTCACAATGATATAATAAAACATCTCGGTCCCGGTTGCT